AACGCTCCTCACTCCTTTGCAAAGCCCTGTCCCTAGAATCACGCGCATGAGCAGTTACTATCTGTCGTGAAATAAAGTTCAGTTCAGTGGAAGGTTCTGAAAAACAACCCAATTCATGAGGGTTAACTAATATCAAAATATTGAACATTTTTTATATCAATTAAACTGGAATTCAATTATCCAACAAATAATTAACTTTAAATGAGTTATATTTTTCAGGCGAGAGAACAGTGACGTAGCATTGTACGTTTTTGAAAGTGGGGAGGGGGCAACAAGAGAATAAATATTAAAGTACCCGGCTGAAAACAACTTGACAAGCGCAAAAAAAAAAAAAAAAAAAAAAAAAAAAAGGAAATTGTCCAAACTTGAAAATACTAGGCGTCGGAACCGTAGGGGGGGGGGGGGGGGGGGGCTTGGACCCACTTTTTTTTTTTCCAGAGATAGACTTAGTACAGACGTTCCAGCATAGGTTTAGACCACCCCCCACTTGCCATGGACACGACGCAGTATAGGTTTAAAATGGGAAAAGTGGTGGTGTATAGAAAAAAAAACTTTGGCACTGGAGTTCGAACCTAACACCCCCCCTAAGAAATTGAATATTTGAGTTCGGAAAATTGACATTCCTTTTCTTTTCTTTCTTTTCTTTTTTCTTTTTTTTTTTTTTTGCTTGTCAGGTTTTTTTTTGAAGGTCTTAAAAAATTCTTACACTTAGCCCCCCACTTTCAATTTGCTTCCGATGCCAATAAAATCCTATTTCGAAGGCGGGGTGAGTTTTGGGTTATATTCAACTTCTTCTATAGAATCAAATTCAATTTTTTTCCTATCATACGTACTACTAAAACTTATTTGACCCTTACTCTTACAAAAAGTGGGTCGGCCGTTCAATGAACATATTCAGTATAGTATAAAGTTATGTCTGAAAAAAGAGGCCGCTATTCCTTTGTGCCCAGAGAAAATAAATATGGAGTTTCCATTATTGGATCGGATTATTTGATCCGGCCTTCAGAAGTTCGATTGCTAAGGCGTTTTGAAGAATCTCAAATAACCCGACCTGGGTTTGGTTACCTAGTTTTACCGACACTCGTAGCGAACACCACACCACCTAGCGTTATAATGCCGCACTAAATTTTGACGGTTTGACAACTTCGATTAGTCTTCATTGAATATGCTTCATTGTTTGCGTGATTGAATAATTTATTTAAGAAACTGTTTAAGTTTAAAAGAAGGTAGAATGAATTTACAAGAATAAAGCAACATAGAAGTAAGGAAAAAATGAAGAAGGATAAAAGTCAAAGTGAAATGTAATAAAGACGAATATGAAAACAATAAAGTGACATATAATTACAATAATAACAAAGCATAAAGAAGTAGGCAGAATAAGAATAAAAGCAAGATACATAGACTTTTGGCGGTAATTCCCTTCCATAGAAAACTACCAACATCTTTGTAGATTAAATATAATTCGTCGTGGAAAAAGGGGCCCAAGATAGCAGTTATGTCACATCATCCTTTGATCTTGTCTTTCTGTCATGTTTATTAGTAATATTTATTAAAATCATTTATTTGTAAAAATCCAAGTCAAGCAATCTAGATAGCTGAAATTTGATTTTTTTTTAAAACTTAAACAATATATAAAAATCGCCGTCTAATAGGGTTGCGACGTGTTCTCAACATATAGACAGAATTTGGTTAAAGCCCTCATTACTTATTACAAGCATACCTGGTAATGCATTATGAAAATTCAAATTCAACTACTTGATTAAAGACTGCATTTATTTTGATTGTGCTAGCCAAACTCTCAGACCTCTGGAACAGGGATCACAACATTTACAATTTTTAATTCTGTGTGTGCTAGCAAAGAGTGGTCATCTAACATATGGTATCCAGCCCTGTTTCTTTTTCATACAACAATATAAAATTAGATGATAACCTATTATTGAACAATAAACTTCTTTTTTTTTTCAAAAAAGAACCCATAAAGTTACATAAGAAAACTGAACTAATTTGGCTATTCAGATAAAAAAAAAACACTTCATGGTCAAACGTCTATGTCAAATGCATGAAATCAACGCTGTACATAGTTTTCATCAAGTCTCATGGCAGCACGTGCCATATAGTTTTCGGAGATAAGGTGTTCCAACAAACCGTTGGAATTCCCATAGGTACCAATTGTGCCCTTGTTGTTATAAGCAGGCCTTTTTGTATTCATATGAAGCAGAATCTATATTTTAAAAACTTAAACATGAAAAGGAAACACTTGCTTTGACCATTAGTTATTTCTTACTTCTATTCATGGTTTCGATCAATTTTGGTGAATTTTTCAAGACACCACATAATACAGAGTCTAATACATACATCTGTTTCAGATTTGACCTAATAACAAAATTTTATGATAAACGTGATGATTTCTACTTTTCTATCATCAACTTTCCTAACTGTCCAAAACAGATAGAATAAAGTCATCTTTCCTTACTTTTTATACATTGTACTCTGAAGATGATATCAAAAGCTTGCTAGATATTGCATAACAATCTCTATGTACTATTAGTCTTTGATAACCAAGTCTTTCCGCGATTTGCTGAAATTTTAACTGGCACTAGTTATGCTGCTTTATCAGTTTTCCTCTAGTTTATCTTTGTGTTAAGCAAAAATTATTCAAAAACTTCTTTACGATATGAATAAAACACTTGATCCGGCCTTCAACTCGAAAAATAAATCAGTTTTAATAAATAAATAATATACATGTATAATTTTCGACGCGAATTCTAAATGAATACAATACAGGTCTGTCTTATCAGTATCATTCAAGTATTTGAATGTTTTACTGACTACAAAGTACAAACCCTATGACAACTGTACTTATTGTCACATTCCTCATTTATTTAGTAGAATAAAGTATAAGATTGTTAGGTCATCTAACTTTTTTTCAAATTCAAGACCATGCTCTGAGTGAATTCTGTGATAAATTTTAAAAATGAGACAGGGTACTGTCAAATAAATTGATGTTACATGAATTTCAACAGCCTCCTTTTTAGTCAATAAAATGGAGCAGAGGAACATTACTAATTTCAAATTTTATTTTTGTGAAATCAAATAAAAGGTGGGACACTTATGATGCATTGATTCACGTTCCAGCAACTCAATCCATGAAATCGCGTTTATGCAAATTTTCTCATTTTATAATAATCCATAACTCACTATGCTCATTATTTCTATATAAAAAAAATCTATTTCAAACACTTTGATTCAGTTAAAAATTGCTTTATATGAAATAAAATAATTTCATAATAACAAAAAACATTTTCAATAAATAAATCACAGCACAGCATCATGATCAGCATACATTTAATATATATTCAAGTAATCAGTTGTTTTTAAAGTTCTAGCACAGATAATGTACGAATGACAGCTAGCTTTGACTGATACTACTATAACAGTTGAACGGACATTTGAACATTCATAAACAAGCATATATAATATATCCAATAACAATTCCAACCGTAAATAGTTTAAGTGTCCTAAAATCATTACTATGAACCAACAATTGCTTACAATTACATGAACTAGGATATGGCATAAATGTCGATCGCTGAACTTTGGGTTTGCCTCGAACTTTTCCTTCTAAATCGTCCACCAATTCTTCTAGCTTTGCACTTTCATTTCTAACAAGTTGACCTTGTCGATAAATCTGTCTCACTAATTCTCTATCTCTAAAAAGGCGATATGCTGTTTGAATTCCGTCTCCTGTACTAGAAATAGATGACCCCATTTTGTCTTCCTCGGGGTCTCTCCGGGGTACACACAGTTTTAAATACAGGTGCGCACTACTGTACAGGTGTGATGTAGATATTTACCCCAACAACGACCTCAAAACTCCTAAAGTTAGAAAACTGAACATGAGTTCCCTGTTGATCGAGTCAAACTAAAGAGATAATCATGCGTAAACCTTTGATCATTTAGTGTCAAAAAGTTAGAGATTGAATATTACGGAAGTCCATTCAGGACCTATATCAAAAACTTTTTTCGAGTATACAGGGACGTAGCAACCGGGGGGGCCTGCCCCCCCCCCACTTTTTTCCCCAACATTACCTTTACTATAGTAAATGTTCATTGAAAGAATAGTTGCCCCCCCCCCCCACTTTTTACTATAGTATAGGGATATCAAGGATTGTAGGGAAAAAAATTGGAAGTGATAGTAAGTTGGCTTCGAAAAAGTTGGCTACCCCCCCCCTCCCCCCCCCCCCCCGCACGAAATAGGATTTTCGAGTTTGGGCAAACTTTTAATTTTCGTTTTTTTTTTTTTTTTTTTTTGCTTGTCAACTTTTTCAGGTAAGTAAAAGGAAATTTTCTCTGGTTGGCCCCCCATTTTCAAAAACGATGCTACGTGCCTGGTATAACACAAATTAACAGGGTAAATAACGAATTCAACAAGAGATGTTTGTAAAACATTTATGCCCCCCTCACCCAAATAATTGGAATATTTGTCTAAGTCCAAATGGCATATCTCTGTCTTAACACAGGAGTTCGCGTACCTATCAATTTTACCGATATCAGAAAATAAAAAAAATATGTAATACCTAAATTATAGGTATTGCGTATTTTTTTTATTTACTGAAAATCTCGGTAAAATTGACAGGTACGCGAACTCCTGTGGTCTTAAATGGCTTGATCGTATCCAAAACAGAACTTGACCAAGACCAAGGGTCGTACGATAAAATCTGTTTTCCAAATTTCATTTCAGTATATGCAACCTCTGCTGAGAAAATGTACTGAAACTGAAAAGAAACGACAGAACACTTCTCCACAGTTCATTACATATGTCATATTTGTGTGTGTTAATCATTTTATTTGTGTATATTGATGACATACTAGTATAAAGAGTGGAATTATTTCTAAGAACAACTAAGTGGTACGTATACGAGAAGTCTTCACTTCAGGCTATTTTAGAAATAAAACGTTTTATTGTATTTTTTAAACATTTATTTTCTTATATATGTACATGCAATTCCACTTCTTGTTTTACATTTAAATTTCATTTTTAGAGAAAGTATGAAGAATATAATGCAGACGGGTTACTTAAGATAAGTACATTTGCATATCAAAATACATGTATATTTATTAAATTCAAACTAGTGATGTATTCTCCAATAGACACTTCACAATTATTTAAAGTACACGTTAGAATACTCATGGGACAATAGCGGACGACTTCCATTGAAGCTTGTCTCCAAACTATCCTCTGTTAATGTCCCCTCAAAAAAGGAAACATGTCTATCCTCCTCGAAACTAGACGAGCAGGCGTCATGTGTGCTGTCCAAGTCAGCGGCGTTTTCGTTAGCATCGTCATCTTTATTTTCATCTTGGTCTTCCTCTTCGCCCTGTATGAAATCTTTTGTCTTCTCTAACGCTGCTTTTCCCGCCCTGCCTAGCTGCTTAACTCTTCTTTTTATCATCCCTTCTTCATCCGATTCATCATCAGATACTTTGCAGACGACCACATTTCCATCCTCGTCGGTATAACAGAGATTATCATTATTGTCGTAAAATCCTCTTCCGCTGTCTTCTAAGAACTGGTAAAGCATTCGTTTTTGTTGTTTGTCTTTTCGTTTCTTCCATTGCTCTAGTTTGTCAAGGAGGATAGCAGTAAGCATCATAGCCAGGCAAAAACACCCAATGACAAGAAATATTGTCAATTTGACGTTGTTCTTAACAAAATCAATAATAAAAGCTATTCCTTTAAGTGGAGGGAGTATTTTGACGCGATAAAAGGCCGTTGTCCATTTCCACCTATGTACAGGATCACGGACGACACATGACCAGTTTCCTTGCATGCGAACAGTGGAATCTTTGATGACGTCACTGTGTTTTTTCCTGGCGGGAATTTTTTGTAATGATGTTTTTGTCCCATTAAGATACCACTCTCTGACAGCTTTCGGATATAATAAACCCAACAGATGACTGTTACACTGTAAAGAGATTTTTTTTCCCTCATGAACGGGTGTTTCTGGATAATCCCCTGATTTCACATACAGCGAAAAAACGCCCACTGTCAACACCTTTCCTTTTGTATAATGTAATCTACACGAATAAAGCCCGGTATCTGTCGCCTTCAGTCCTTGTATGACGAGGTCCCCCATCCGGAATACCATTCGTTCTGGTTCCATTGTTAGATAGCCCTCATTTCTGACCCAGCGATAGGTGGCCCTTGGATATAGGCGGAAGATAGAACGAGTAACGGCCGTTTCACATTCAAGTTCAGCGCCTGCGCCTTCATCTTTTATGAATTCACTATGTGTTTTGTTAAAGAACTGCTTAACCTCAAGTTTTAAGGATTTGGGTAGGTCAGACTTTTTGCGACTTTTTAGTACTTTATTTTTGTATTTCTTTAAGATTTTCCACATGTTTTTGCCCTTAAATGAACAAAGACAAATAATGACACATCTCTACAAATCTAATAAGTTTTATCTAAAATATCTGTAAGTTCTTTTAAAATTTGATATTTTATATATTTACACATATGATCTTGATCATGTAAACATGGTAAGTTTATGATAGTTGTGTAATAAACATGTATAAGCATGTACAATTCATTGAATGACTAAAATATTTATATAATATTACAAGAGGCCCAATTAAAGGACCTATATAAAGGGTCACCTGAGTATAACACAACATTGTCCGAAATAATTACTTCTTCCAGACTTTTTCAGGATTTTGCTATATAGGGCCTACGTGCCAGGAAAACGTCGGTCAGAAACGACGTCATTATGAAGACTGGGAATTTCACCTTCTTCAATCGGAGTTAATTGTCAATACTCGCGGTTAGCAACTGCCAAGTCTCAAAAATAAACTGGAGAATGTCGCCTCCGTTTTTTTTTAAATTTAGTATATGTAGGAACAGAGAAGAAAACTTTCAAAGAAATACTGCATTTTCAAAATATAATTTTTAGAGCCCAAATTCCAAAACCCTGCCCTGGAGGCCATGAAATTCAAATTTGGGATAAAATAAATTGTCCTTTATACCCAGAGGCAGAGAAGTAGATTTTCAACTAAAAAATGTATGCAATTTCACTACATATACATAATCATAAGAACATACCGGTACCTATGCACCTAGTTTTTCTAAATATCGGGGGCGGGGGATATGCATTTTCACCATATGATCATTAGCCCAAGAACCGATGGCCGGTTCAACTTAGTTTGAGAAGTATTTTATTCATAATATACAAAGAGTACAATATGAATATGGATTGAACAGCAGGCCAAGGGCCTATATTAGTTCTCTCCTTCAACTTCTTGATGTCAAGGGGAAAAGAAGAATTCTAATTTTGATGGTTTAATTTAGACTAACCCTCAGGGCTCAGGCTCTTATGGGCAGGGACATGTAATGAAGTTCACATCTCATGATCCCCTTCACCCTTTGTAATGTTCTATGCAAAAATTGGTTGAAATTGTTTCAAACAGTTCCAGAGAAGAAGCCGAAAAAGTCTGCAGTTCATTAATTTGCATGATTGTTGACTTACACAGACAGACAAACAGACAGCAAAAAACGTCACCTGACTTGTCCTGAGTCCTCAATGATTCAGATGCCCCATACATATTCTCTTTAGAGAAGTGGACAGTCATTTTTAACACAACAGCTGCTCTACATGTATAATAGGCCTACATAGGAACTATAGGAGTATCTTCAGCATGACCAGGTGAATTTTTGAAAGGCACTTGTCAGTCTTGATTTTTTTATTTTGCTTATGCTGCTTGAATTGCATACATGCGGGGGAGAAGGGTGCAGTCCTAGGAATGAGCAGTTTCATCAATATACAAAATATTTCAGAAACAATTACCTTTGGTCTTTACCCTAAATGCATCCTGAAAAAAAGAACGAAAAGAACGAACTGTAACACAATGCATGCAACAAACCTGAGTTGGAATAAGCATGAAAAGTATCACTTGGATTAGAATACACATTTTCAACGATTCCATAATTGACATGACGTAATATCTGACGTAATTTATAATAAGAGATTAATTTGTACGAGTTATCTAAATAAGAAATTAAATTGTACGAGTTATCTAATTCTTAGTTTTTATTCTTATTTTCGGAATATCCATATTTGATTAGAATATGATGAAAAGAGAGATTATTCTGAAATGCCAAAGCTTAAAAATTATTAAAATCGTCATTAGAATATAGACATAGCATAAGAATATTATGTTATTAGGTGCCCTAATGAAATACGAAACTAAAATTTCCCGCCAAATTGATGGATTTTAATTTTTACCAACATGGCGGGAGCTGGGGATCACAGCAGATCGTTAAAGGAAGCCCTTGTAGAGAGCTTAAACGCCGTTTTATCACCAATTCATAATGTCAGAATATCAGGAGAGGAACAGGTTAAAGCATTAGAAGTCACAGAAGGTGAATAGAATCTTTCTTGTTCAGAAATATCAGTAGTTGTGTCACACGTGCTTTCTAGTCCGAAAAATCTTACGTTTTCCTGGCTTTTTTAAGATTTTGATATTTTACATGCCAGGAAAACGTCAGAACCGGCGCCATTACGTAAACTGGGAAATCGCGGCCCCCAACCGGAGGCGGCATTCTCTGGTAGACTTTAGATACTTGCGAACTGAATTAAATTTCAAAGTCAAAAGTTATCAATAGACAATACTTAATGAACTTACCAATATAGTTTGTATGGTTCATTTATGAAATAAATAATCCGTTGAAAAAGGTTTTATCACACTGTCGAGATTTGTCTTCATTTCGTGCATTTTAAAATCTTGCATGTCCTGTTACGAAATGTGGAGTGATATTTTCTTTTCATCGATATTGGTGAGTACTAGAGGCATTGTGCTTTTGATAAATTCTGATTTCGGCATTTAGGTCGGTTCACAAGTATCAAAAATCAACTCAGTTGGAGACAGCGAAATTTCCAGTTTACGTAATGGCGCCGGTTCTGACGTTTTCCTGGCATGTAAATATCAATATCGTAAAAAAGCCAGGAAAACGTCAGATTTTTCGGACTAACGTGCTTTCATGCCTTCTCAGATTGTTAGGAGTCTATTTATAGTTTATTTCAAAATTGTCTGTTAGTGTCTTATTTACTTATTTTTTTTTTACGTTGTATTATAATGAATTTAGTCTGGTTTATTTTGACCATAATATACACTAAGGTGCTCGACTAAGACAGGTCCAGTACAATCTCTTGATTTAGCTATATAGCTTTAAATAGCTATATAGCTTTATTAAGCTATTTAAAATAGCATTATTTAGTTATTTATATACAGTTTTTCACAAAAAAGTTTTTTGCTGAAAATAAACAAAAAGTCGCACGTATTTGACTCTTCATATTTGTACTATGGGCTATCAAAACAACAACCAAAATCAAAGATAGTTCTAAGGCCAAAAAAAATAATAGTCTTGTTTCCTGCTACCAGCCTGAAAAAAATAGGGTAGGTAGGTCGGAAAATTATTTTTTTTATTTTATTTTATTTTTTCCAGTGGTATTTGTTGGATATGAACTATTACAAAACCAAATTAAACAGGTCATTGGTCAATGTCATCATTTAAAATAAGTAGTGTTTCATGCAAGTCCATATTTAAAATATATATATTTCATGAAATACCACTTAAATGTATATTTTTTTTCACTTTTGGATCATGAAATTTTCGATTTTCCCTCAAAAACTAAATAAAAACTTTAGGGTCGGGTGCAAAAAAATAGGGTAGGTCGGGTAGCAGGAAACAAGACTATTTTTATTTTTGGCCTAACTTTGCAGCTTTTGAATACTTTTAAGCAAAAAGAGAATTTCTATTGTAAGACTAACTGTCCACTACCTTGGGTGCCTTGAGGCATGATTGCTTCTCATTGTGCTGAACTGTTACCAATCAATTATCTTGTTGAACATAATTGGTCTCCATTATAATATCATTGCAGAAGTAACTGTATCAATTGCTTTATATAGCCCCAAAACTTGTAGACATAATTTTGATGAGTGATTTTTACATGCATTATTTTAAGAAGAGTTCAAAGTTGTACAGTAAAACTTCTCTAAACCGGCCAGCTGCCGGACTGAATAAAATGGCCGGACTAGAGGGGTGGCCGGTTTCCCGAGAATCTAAGATACTGAAGAAATGCAGATCTATGTGACAGATGTTAGGAAATACATATAATTGGTGTCTGTTATAATTATCTGTCAACATATTATAATTAATTATCGGCAGACACGTAATGTATTCTTAAGATCTAAAAAAAAAAAAGGGAAATTATTATTAGTGAGGATAAATTCGACATACATGTTGATTTTTATTTTAAAAAAATTTTAAAAATAAGAGTAGAAAAAACATGGAAAGTTTCTTTAATGACCATATGCGAAGAAATGAACCAGACCCTTTACCTTAACTCTACTCTACACAGAATGCTGCATGTGAATCTGTGTATCGCTTACGTCATTAAAAAGTTTTTGTACTTCAATTAAAAGTAAATAATTAAAACATTTCTGAGAAAAACTTCTGTTATTTTAATTATGAAATGTAGATTTTGGTTAAAAATTATATTTCATTTTTGTTTTCGTAGCATTTTTTAACAGTGCCCAATTTTAAGGCCGCTTATGTGTATTAAAAAAGATTATGCAATATGGCGTGTGATAATTTGTTGATTCATTCTGTGATTTAAATTTATTAGTTGCTTGATATTCTATTAATTCAAGTTTAATTGATGTTAATCATATGTACACAGCTTAGACCGGCCATTTACGTAGTCTAGCACTATGACTACCCCTTCAAGACGGCTGAAGTAAATTTCTTGCAATCAAAAAGTGGCCGGTATGATGATGGGAAATTTCCTATGTTTCTTAACTTTTGTTCTTGGAAAAGTGGCCGGTGTCCGGTTTTCAGGGGTGACCGGTTTTATGAGAGTTTATGTATAAAGAAATGTTAAGAATTTTGTCGGGACTTATAAATTTGGCTGATGTTCAGGGAGAACCGGTTTCCAGGGGGGCCGGTTTGGAGAAGTTTCACTGTATATCATCACTGCACCAAGGTGTGCTCTTTTGTACATACTGAGAAAATTACACCTTTAAGGAAAAAATGTAGTAAAATAGCGAAATTAAGCTCTACAGAATAGCTTAATAAAGCTATATAGCTATTTGAAACTATATAGTTAAATCAAGAGATTGTACTGTACCTTTAAAAGTCTAAAATACAGAGCAGGGGCCACAAAGATGACAAAAATGAAAGATACACAGTTAATATTAAGATTCCTGTAAATATCATTTGAATAATTAAAATTTGAAATAATTA